CACTACAGTAGTAGACAGAAACTAGCTTAGCTTTAACAAAGTTGACACAATGTTGCACCTTGTGGGTTCATTTGAACTTACCAAATAGATTATGGTAAATCAAAAGAATAATCCCTAAATCCAACTCTGTAAAGTAGACGTGTCAGTTACTAATTGTCTTTAGCTGTAACAGAACGCCTCCTCTACCACACAAACAAGAAAAGAACTATTTTCCACCAGTGGTTATCAAACTTTGCTCCATGTTACAATCATTTGGGGAGATTTGAAAATTCCCAATACCCAGGCTGCATCCCACATAAATTAAATCAGTATCTCTTGGAATAGACTCCAGATATCTCAAATATTTAAAACTCTCTAGGTATTTCCAATTTGCAGCCAAGTTAAGAGCCAGTGGCTCAAAAAAGATGAAAGGTAATTCTCTCCTGTGTGAAAAAAGCCCTTTAGAGTTTATACACAGCTTTACAGGGTCATCAGGGACTCAGACTCCTATTTTTCCACAGTTCTATTCTTAAGAGCCTAGGTTCTATCTTCAAAGTCACCTCGTTGTAAAAAGATACTGACTAAATCTCTAGTGATTACACCCCTGCTTCTGGCAGGCAATAGGAGGAAGTAAGAGGAAAAAAGAGTTTGAAGCCCCTGCATTTAAGGCCCCTTCCCTGAAATCCCACCTAACATTTACCTTTTCATCAGATAGGTGGGCAGAAGTCAGACTTAAACACATATCTACCAGCAAAGAAAGCTAGAAAATATTTTCTTCTAGCTGGTCATATTGCCCAGTCTTCTCTTACAAAAGCTAGAGTCAAGGAACAGTCTCTCTCACATCGTGCTTAAAACATTACCAGAATGTTTCCATCTGCCTCCCACATTGAAGCATCTGAACTTATTTTAAAATCGGAAAAAAAAAAACTTTTAATACAGGTAGCTGAAACGCCATTCTCTTTTACCATTCACCCCAGTCCAAGCACATGTTGCATTCTATTTCTTTCCTCAGTATCTTTGTTCCACTGAAAAAATACCTAGACCTTTTTTTGTTCCTATCTCTATCCAAATGATTAGAAAAAATGAAAATCAATTTTCTGATGTACCAACTGATGGGATGCATAGTTAGCAGTATGTCTGAAGAAATTATGAGTGTAGACATAGCCTGAATATTTTATCATTTTTGATAGACTCAACCAATCTCCTAATATATAAGTTGATGCTTAAAAAATAAGTTTGTAGGTTTTAGACTGGTGTTCATTTATGTATGTTTCTAAGATATAAGTAATACATTTTTACTTAGTATAAATTATATTTCCAAATATCTTTTACACTTCTGAGGGAATAAATTTTGAACCACAGTTACATCATCTGGTATCCTTATATCCCTTCATGCAAGAAAAAACAATATATTGCTATAAAATTCATATGTAAACATTCTTTCTTATTCCTCCTACAAATTCATGAAAGCTCTAGTCAGTCACTAAAGAAGGAGCAGTTCAGTTACAACCAGAAAAGAAAAACAGAAAGATTAAATGTTATGCTTTCCTTTCACAAAGATAAGAGAAAATCAGAATTGAATCCCTTCTGTGTTAAAAAAGACTCCTTAATATCTCCCTATGAAGCATGTGAAGTACCTGAAAGTCAGGTAACTAAAATAAATTTTCCTGGACATTAAGATGAAAAAAAATCTACTCTTCTTTTTAAACTCCGAAGTTTCATTAAAATGATTAGAAAAGTTTTTGTACGCGTAGATCTTACATATTTTTCAATATATACATCAGTTTTAAACAAAACACCATTAATGAAATCACGTTTTGACTGATTAGATTGGAATATTGTTAAACAACGCAGATATAACATTGAGATGACATTTTTCATTGAAAAATAATTGAAAGCAATGAACTAAAAAGAATACTAACTCTTTCAAACAATATGAACCGGATAATGTTCTAGTAGGTAACATACAATGCCATTCGAATTTGTGATGGAAAAATAAGTTTATTTGCTAAGCTTAAGACTAGCTTTTTAAAGCAGTAAAATGAAAATCGTATTAAAATGTAACTGGCACAGATCAACCAGGAAGCAACTCCCAAGGTAAGTTTTGAATTTTTAGAAAATAGCATACACTATTTTAAAAACCTGGTCCAGCTCAAAAGGAACAGTAGTTTTAAAGTTCAGGATATTGAATTTCATAGTTATGAAATTTCATCAAAGATACCATATTTTACTGAAGATCAGTCAGGTTAGAATAAAAATTAGTAACCATCAAGTTAAACACTTATGCCTCTAAATCTGACTGCTTGGTGGATCTTCTTATCAGTTGAGACTAACAAAGAAAAACAAGAAGGAAGTTTGGGTTTGATATTATAATATATTTGCCTCCAAAATATGTAGATGTGCACTGGAATGCTGTAACAGCAAAATAATGAACAAGAGGGAAAAATATAAAGTCTTGATGCATATTTCCCAAAAGAGCTATCAATGAGAAAAATGTTTTTAAATAATAAGTATTATAATTATTATATGTACACATACATGTGTGTTTTAAATTTATCAGAAAATGTTAAGGTTACAAATGTTAAAAATAGTCTGTGCTATGAACAACTTAGAATAGAATGATGTGAAGACAGATTTGAAGAATATTTATGTTAATAAGTATGTCAGCATTTGAATGAAAGAATCAAATTTATAGCTTGAAATTCACAATTCTAAAAAAAGAGGTTTTTTTAATGGTACACAATGGTACTGTGGTTGAAATTAATATAAAGCTCTTTGATTTTATGATGTCAAATGGAACCTAATGTCAAGGACTGTGAAGGCTCTGATATTTTACCAGTCAGTCTGTCACAGTTTTAGTGATGCTAGAGGGACACTCTGGAATCAGAGATGAACAATGACTTATTACCACAGCAATAACAGTAGCCAGAATATCAACACTTTAATACCACTTCCTTGAGTCCTAGCTCCCACAATGTGATGTTAAGGAGGCCAGGTGACACCTGCATACACTATGGATTGTATTACAGGAAAGGATTCCTGAGCTTCAGGAACCCAAATATTTTATAATGGTCAGGAGGTATGCTTGTCTTTTCCCTGGATGGAGACACTATCTCTACTTTACAAAGCTGTAAGCAAACTTTAACTTTGCTTCAGTGGGTAGAACTATCCGTGCCTTTCAGAGCTCTTCACTGTACAAATATCCTTGAAAAGACAGACTGAAACAAAAGGTAGTCAGTTTCTCACTTGCCAAACATGAAGAAATGTGAGAGCTCCGTAGGCCTCTTAATACTATTCCTTTGAATGAGTGATGGCCAGTGACAGATGTAGGACAATGTTTGTCCTCCTCCCTGCTCTCTAGATAATTAGTGTTCACTCATGTTGAAGTACTGGGGTGCCATCCATCATCCATTTGGTTGTGCAAATATTTTGTGTTTATAATCATCCTTGATATCCCCCTGTCTAAATCTTGAAGATTTTATCTCATAAGTACGTTGAAATCCCTCATTTTCTTCCATTGTTACCACCAATGCATTAACCCTAGTTACTTCAGTAACTAGTTACTAGATTAATGCTTTCCCCCCAGCATTAACCACCTAGCTGGTGAAACAAGCATCCATGTTGAAGGAGCACAATAGTTTTCATAATGCAAGTCTGGTCATTTCAAGTCCTTCTACACCATTAGCATTCAGAAAAATTAAAACTATTAATGTGGCTAATGAGGCCCTGCAATTATCACTCTTGCCGTCTCCTTCAATTTAGTCACATAGAATCCTTCTTTGCTCCCATGACTATGTCCACATTGGATTTCTTCAGGTCCTCATCTCTCCAATACACTCAACTGCCATAGAGCCTGGGCATTTATTATTCCTTTCTCACCTAATTAACTCCTCCATATTCTACTTCATCCTTGGCAACATTCTCCTAACCTCCCTCGGTACTTAAATGCCCTATTATGAGATCCTAAAGCCCTAGGTATTTTTCCTTTATAAATACTTTAAACACTCACCAATGAATATTTGTTTACGTGATCATTTGACTACAACCTGCTTCCCCTACTAGAGTATAAGTGATTTGAAGCCCAGAATAATATCTGTCTTGGCCCATGATTATCTGTGATATCTCACTTACTGCCCTAGAAGTAGTAGGCACTCAACATGTGTAAAAGAACTATATTGCTGAATTCACCATTGTATAGAATATGATAAGGAAAACTGTGTTTAACAATGGCTGATTACTCAGTAAATCATATTACAGTCAAACATTGGAACTTGATACAGCAATTGTAGTACACAAATATACATATAATATAAAAAAGAATTTTCATAATATATTATTAAGCTAGGTAAGAAGGCTGAAAAATTATCATAAGTAATATAATCCAACTTAAATATATAAATGCAAAAGCATATGAAATTAAATACAAATGAAACTGCTAGATGTGCATGTTTCAAATTATATTTTTAGCTAACTAGCATTTTTTACACTTTCTAAAATTAAAAAATTACACATGAGATGTAAAGGTTTTAAAATTTAGTTTTTACCATATAGCCAAGCCTTATGTGCAATGCACCCATAACAGTCACTTCAGAAAATACTGTGCACTATTTTCAGTGCAATTGAATGATTTTAAAGAAATAAAGTATACGTATAAAACTATCCTGTGGAGATTAGAAACATATACATTAAGCTTACAATATCATAATGTCATGAAAGGACTTATAAAATTGAATTATGTTGGAGACTTGAAAATATAATTCTTATGCTTCCCAAGTTTTATTATACAAGTAAATCAATGGGATTTTCCCTTCCTTACATAAGGATCCACAGCTATAATCAATAACCTCATACAGATCTGAATTTTCTCTTATATATACAAATCTTAAATAGACACTACAGAACAACAGTAATATTTATATATTATTTTCTGCTATAGTATGTTTTACATGGATCCCAGATGGCCTGCAGGAGTTACAGATTGTTCTCTAAGCTCATACCTGAATTGTAGAGAGTGAATTTACTGCTGAATAAAAGGATATTTGAGACAGCAACTTTGATTTTTACTCTGAAAATACTAAAAACGTGTACAGAAAAATTTGGAAAGTAGCGATCAGAGTTGAGCTGGAACTTTTTTGGACGTGGAGAAAAGGGCACACTGAAAAAGAATAATGTTTACCATAGGAAAATCTGAAACAGGCACTAACAATTGGAACATGTATAAACTATTTCCTGTTCTTACCACAAATAGAACTATCAATAGAATTATACTCAATTTCACATCAGGGAACCAATTTTAGTCAACATATTCATAGTGATTGTAATCAATGTATCATGAATGGCTTGGTTAGAAATGTTAGAAATAAAATAAACATTTGTGAATGGCCTCAATGTTTCCTTGTTTCTGTAATTCAGTATTTCATAAAATAAGTTTTTAAATTTTAAATATTTACAAATAATGCTTAGCTGTTCAGAAAAAAAGTGATTTTTTTCAAAAGTATATTGACAGGAATTCTGATAAAGGCAGCAGTTTAAACACATGCCTCTAATAAATCTTTCTCTTGAAATCAACCCTGAGTAAACAGAGAGGAGAACAAACTGGTGGAAAAGAATATGGAAGCCCAAAGCTGAACCTAGGTAATGTTACTACCTCATATCACAAATATTGAGAGATTTCTTCCAGGTACTGAATACACAGTTATAAATCAAAGAGAATCCAAGGAGTCACTGGGAATGTGGCCAACTCTATTATACCCCCTTATTTAGGGAAGTGAAGTCTAGAAACTACAGGAAGCCAAGGAAAGAGAGTCACTCCCACTTAGTATACTTGCTCATACACCAGATAGAGATGGAAACTTGAAACCACTCCGAGTGGTTTACTCTAACACTGTGTCTAAAACAAAACAAACAAAAAAGGGGGAGACCCCCAGATAAGTGGGGTGGGGGATTTCTCTAATGTGAATGGTAAAGTAGAGCTGAATTCTGGAACTTTAACAGGCCTGGAGAAAGACGGACCCAGCCTATCTATAGTTATTTTTTATTAAGAACTAAAAAAGGCAGAGAAGGATCTGCTGGTGGGAAAATACAAGTGGCCTTCCCAAACAAAAACCCACGAAAGGTAGTGCTATTCTTTTTATTTCACTCAGAAGTAAGGGAGAACTTTCAAGAGGTGTGACAGAGCATGCGCTCCCAGAGCTGGAGAGGACAGAGCTATAAATGAGGACTGAGAAAGATGAATGAGGAGAACTAGAACACTGGCCACCACGGCATCAGTGGACACAGAGGAAAACTGAGCAGGAATCAAGCTCTAAATATAAAACTGCCCAGAATGTCAGTTTCTTCCCTCTAACCTCTTGATGGAAATTGTTCTAATAGAAGAGAACAAATCTGACTCTATACTGGATCTGTTCCTTTAGTTTTGACCACAGTGCCCTGTTTCTAGGCTTAGCCTTGCTAGCTCTGCATCTTTTTGTAAAACAGTGTTGCCTTTGGCCTGAAATACACAGGAGAGCCCATTCTCGGGGCTCTGACTTTTAAGGATGTTAGCACTTCTGCACTTATGTAGAGATGGCAAGTTGTGAAATAGAGAATAACCTTTGTTTTGTTGGAGGTTTACAGGGACACTATGGCCTGACCCACATGGACGGCTGCAAGAACAAAGAATTCTTGCAGCAAGAAGTTTGCAACAACCAACCACACTCCCTCCCCCCCCACTTTTTTTTTTGTATAAAAGGAGCCTGTATCCTGACTGGAGGAGGATGGTTCTTCAAGACATTAGTCTGCTATCCTCTTGGTCTGCCAGCGTTCTAAATAAAGTCGCTATTCCTTGCTCCAACACCTCGTCTCCTGATTTATTGGCTTGTCGTGCAGCAAGCAGAATGAGTTTGGACTCAGTAACATTATGATGTAAAAATATTTATTATCTAGCTGTTTCTCTTAAGTACTAAGGAAATAGTTTGTATAAATGGAATAGGCCCCAAGATAGTTACCTATGCTACTTTTTTAAACAGCTTTATTAAAGTATAATTGATGCACAAGGTATTGCACAAATATACATACATGTGTATATATACAACAAGTGAACATACAAATATACAATTTGATGAGTATTGACATGTATCTATCCATGTCAATCAGAGTAGTAAACATGTCTACCACTTCGCAAAAGTTCCTTCTATCCTTTGTGGTTTTTTTTTCTTGGCTTGTTTCATTGCAGTAAAAACACCTAACATTAGATCTATTAATATATCCTCAAGTGCACATTACAGTTTTGTTAACTATAGACATAATGCAGTATAGAAGATCTCCAGAAATTATTCTTCTTTCACAGTTGAAACTACGTTCCCATTAAACAGCAATTCTCCCCAATCACCATTCTACTCTCTGTTCCTATGAGTGTGACTATTTTAGGCACCTCTTATAAGTGGAATCATACAGTATTTGTCCTTCTGTAATTGACATTACTTTCAACATAAGATGCTACAGGTTCAGCCATGTTGTCAAAAATGGCAGGAGTTAATTCTGTGTTAAAACTGTATATTCCATTGTGTGCATTTATCACATTTTATCTATTTATCTAACAGTAGACATTTAGGTTCCACCTCTTGACTATAGTGAGTAATGCTGCAATGAACATGAAAGTGCAGGTATCTCTTCAAAATCTAATTTAAATTATTCTGGATAGATACCCAGAAATGGACCATATGATAGTTCTAGTGTTAATTTTTTGAGGAACTTTCATGCTATTTTCCAAAGTAGCTGTCTTTACGCTGTTTCCAACAGTGAAACAGTGGTTTCATGTTGTTTTCCATAGTTTACATTATACAAGGGTTCCACCAACAGTCTACAAGGGTTCCAATTTCTCCATATCCTCACCAACACCTGTGATCTTTCATTATCTTGTTTTTGATAAAAGCCATCCTAACAATTGTGAGGTGATATCTCATTGTGGTTTTCATTTGCATTTCCCTGATAATTAGTGACGTTGCATGTCTTTTCGTAATGGTGGCCATCTGTGTGTCTTCTCTGAAGAAACGCCTACTCAAGTCCTTGGCCCATTAAGCAAATGCCATCTCTGACTAAAGGATGAGAGACAAAAAGCAGGATTGTAAAATGGAGATAATGAAAAAAATCCTGAGGCAAAAATTAAGGAATAAGGGCACTCTCATGAAATGAGATTAAAAACACAAATTTGAATACCAGAATAAACAGTTGAATGTGTGAATAATGGGAGCAGGCTAAAGAGGAGGAAAGGAAAGAAATCGAAGAATGAAATGGAGAAAGATAGGAGAGAGGAGAGAGGCAAGGGATAGAAAGAGGAAAAAGAAACAAAATAAAATGGAAGGTGGAACTTAGGAGAGAGAAATAGAAACAGAGATAGAGAGAGAGATAGAATGTCCCCAGCTTATGAAAGAGAGTTAAAATGAGTTAAATTAATTAACTCCCCAACTGTTAAAGTGGAAGAAGCCAACTGACTGTGTTCCCCAATTTACTTTCTTAACTCTGATTAAGAAAAAAAATTTTTCCTTGTTGAAAAAAGTGTAGGTAGACGAAGAAAATTTTGAATGTACATTCAAAAATAGTTTGTAAATAGGTATAAATTTTCAGAAACATGGTAGACCAACTGCTCAGACTACTCACCTTCTGAAAACAATCAAAACTGTGAAATAAAACAGTTTTAAAAAACAATCTATAATTCATCTAAGAAACTAAAGAATACTCAGCAATCAAGCAATGATGGGAATATAGGAAAATGAACGAAAGATTAATGTCAGCTTTTACACTGATGGCTTTGCCAGAAATGCTGAATTTGAGTATCATTTTTCACATAACACAGGGAGTTCAAGAGATAGCTCAGGAGACTTTTTATTGCAGTGTGTACTAGGAATATATTTCTAAAATTGCACCCCAAAAGTGTGATTCTCTAAATAAAGTAGAAGGAACCCTTCCCTCAGGATATTGAAAGAATAACTACTTGACTTAAATCCTAGGATTAAGTGGGTGAAGAAATTTACCTCCCTTAAAAAATTACAATTATATCCAATCCTCATATGAGTCTACTACTGTTGAAGTTTATAAAATAAGAGTTTATCTTAAGAACTACCATTATGCTTCAGCAATTTCACTTCTGAAGTAAATAAAATCACTATCCCGAAGAGATATCTACATTCCCATGTTCACTGCACCATTATTTACAACCGCCAAGACATAGAAACAACCGAAGTGTCCATAGATGAATGAATGTGGTGTATGTATACACAATGGAATATTATTCGTCCATAAAAAAGAAGGAAATTTTGCCATTTGTGATAATATGGATGAACCCTGAGGGCCCTATGAAAAGAAAGATAGAAAAAGACACTGTATGATTTCACTTATATGTGGAATCTAAAGAAATCAAACTCATAGAAACAGAAATCAGATTGATAATTACCAGAAATGGCAGTAAGGAGTGAGGGAATTGGTTGAAGGTGGTCAAAAGTACAAACTTCTGGTTATAAGACAAATAAGTCTGGGGGCTATAATGTGCAGTATAATGACAATACTCTAGTATATATTTGAAAATTGCTAAGGGAGTAAATCTTTAAAGTTTTTATCACAAGAAGAAAAATTGTAACTATGTGAGGTGATGGATATTAACTAAATTTATTGTGGTAATCATTTTGCAACATATACATATAGCAAATCATTATGATATACACCATAAACTTATACAATCTCAATTGAAAGTTTTATACAATCGAGTTTCATATCTCATTAAAACTGGAAAAATAAGAATAAAAGAATTGAGTTTAAAGTACTCTACAAGTCCTAGTGTCTAAGGTTTCAATCAGAGACAAAAGTAATCTTTTCTAGAGAAACCTCTCTTCTTCACAGGTCTCAAGGAATTGCCAAAGCCAAACTTCCAGGAAAAGGAGGAAATTAACAAAAAAGACACCATGATGCAACAACAAAGAGAAACAAACATATATATATATATATATATACACACACATATACAAACACACACACACACATCATAGTGAAACTACAGAACACTAAAACAAACTGGAAATCTTAAATAAGGCTAGACAGAAAAAGATATAAAATGTAAAGGGAGAAAAAATTAGATTGACAGCTGACTTCTAAATAACAGCAATGGGAGGAAGAAGCAGCATTACCAAAAGGTAAAAAAATAGAATTATATGAAATAACCAACTAATTGAAAAGAAAACAAAAGAACTCCAGTTAATTTTTTTAACCGCCAAACTACATAAAAATGAAATTCCTCTATATGCTCTGAACAAGAGACATATCAAAAATCATGAGGATACAGAAAGTTTGAAAGTAAAAAGTTAGGAAACAATATGACATGAAATTTTTTACTAAAAGAAATCCGGTATAGCTACAGTAATATCAGATTTTACATGCTTTAAGGCAATTAAGAATTACCAAGAAAATAAAGTCACTTGTGACTAAAGGACAACAAAATCTTGTCTCCTTCTCTAAGCATACACTGGACCTTGAGTTAACTTTCTCTTTCTGGTCCCGTAGAAACCTGATAAAAGTTGAGTATCAGCTGCATTACGAGGTAAGATTAACAAACTGCATTTGACTTAGAAGTATGGATGGACACTAAATACCTAATAGAAAGCCCTAACTTTAGACTTCCTTGAGGACAGTAATCTCTGTATAGAGCATGTATCTCTTATGGGCACCTTGGAATATATACCTAGACATGTGACAAGAGATACTGGCTTTATTGGCATAAAGCTATGAGCCAAAGTGGAACTCACACCCACTTGTGTGATATGATCTCTTGTGCCTGAGCTGTCAGCTGGAAGCCAAAGGGAATAGCTCCTGTTATGGTTGTATAGACTGCTGCAAAGGCTGCTGCAAAAACCATTTCCCCTGACAAGGATGCTGTACAAGGAAAAGAATGCTGTGTTTCCACCTCTGCATCTTTGAGTAAATTGATGCTATGTGGCCTATTCTGATTCTGCTGGTCTGAATATGCAGTTGACCTTGAAATATCCCTCAGTGTATACTGATAAAATATTCAGTACCTTATTGATGCTTCAGTACATAATAATAAAATATTAAATTCCTCAAGAGACATAACAGTTCTAAACTTGTATTCACCTAATGTATTAGCATCAAAGTTTCAAAATATACCTTAAAATTTATAGAGGCATAGGATAAAAAGATAAATCCACAAGTATTGTGGACTATTTTCATCTAGCTCTCTCAATGTGAACATATTATGCAAATAAAAAACTCATTAAGAATAAAGAAAAATTGATTACACATTCAACAAACCTGATTTACTGTGTATCTACAGAATATAGCACCTAATTTCTAATAGGAAAGTATTTTCGGATAAACAAAGTTAGAGAAAAATTTCGTAACATCATGCATTATGGCTTAAATAGTAAGCTTCACCGTAATAAGCAGAAATTAACATAGACAAAGGTCAAAAAGGAAACAGAAGGGGCTGGTGCTCTGATTCTCCTATCACTGGGGCCAGGGTACTGCTAGGTCCACAAAGTGAGTCTGTGTGCCATCAGAACACACAGCCCCCTGCCAGTCTAAATGGTTATGGGACAAACATGCAAAGCAGACCTGTCGGTTGTTGGCTAAACAGGTGTTCTGCCAGCCTGTCTGTTTACTGTTAACAATTTTTACTGGTGTTGTCTGGGAAATCCAGATTTTAGGAGCAAATGAAGATTGCATTTTCCCTGCCTAAGGGAGGTATCATAGGTTCTGTGGGAAACTGAGATCAGATGCAGTGTCAAACCCTAAGAGCATAGGTAACACACATAGTTCATAAAGCACTCATATCCAGAATATGCAGAGAATTCCTACAAATCAATAAAATATTTTTTAAAACTTAAACAGATGCTTCACAA